ACACTCACATTATACATACTATATGTTGTACTTAACATATTTTAGCTATTTTAGAGGTTGCGTCAACAACTTACGCTTTTACGCTTTGATTCTACGTTTTACGATTTTACCCATTTTCCGCTTCCAGGTAGAATCGTGCTTTTAACTGCATTGACCACGAGATTAAAACCGAAGAGAAAAGGAAGAATCCAAGCAGCGAAGATCAAACCTTGAAGCCCCGTAGCTGAGCACGAACAAGAACCTGACGTGAAGCGCCACAACACCAATCCCAACAGCCAGCAGAGCCGCAACCACCAACACAAATCCCAAATCTACCCGAAGTAGCCACCAACCTCTACCCCAAGCATCCACCAACCGCAGCCACAATAAAAGCTCCGCAAGCAGCCAAATCTTGGCACGCCGCAAGCACCAAAAAACCAAGCCAAAGCGAACAGAATCCCAGCCAGCAGCGAAGATCAAAATCGAATAGAAAAGGGTAGCAAGACCAAACCTGAAGCCTCTCAACACAAGACAAGCAACGCGGACCATAAAGACATCAAAACCCCACAGCAGAAACACGATCCGCAACTGAAAACTGTCGATAATCCCCCACGAAATCAGAGAGGCTCTGATACCATGTCAATTACAAACAGAACATAAATAAGAATCGATGCAGAACACCGGATTTATGTGGTTTCCCCAATGTTTGAACGTTGATACTAGTCCACGGCACAAGGCGAGAGATCTCTTATTACATGTATTCTTCATAATGCAACATACACGCAAACTCGGCTGCAAATCTACTAATATAGGCGGCTGCACTAAACTCTATTATGTACATGGAAAATTACATAAAGGTGCTTAAACCTTTAACTTCTAACACTGGTAAGCTAACTTTACAGTATAAATGTCGGAGGGTTCTTTATTCCAAACTAGTCTATCTGTCACACTAATCCTAAGCAAGGGAATTTGCCTAATGGCCGCCCTACTCTACTCCGGAAAGAAATAAAGGAGGAATTCCTCACACCACTCCTCCCTCTCCTTGTCTACAAGAGAATCCACAGTCTTCTCAACCAACAAAGGCATCGAGGGAAGAACAGGAGGGGAACGATGCAAGGAGGTACCCAGTTGTCCAGACGTATATCAACTTTCTTGCCCGATCCAACCTGCCATTGGAGACCCTCTTGCAACAGAGAACAATCATACAACACACTTCTCTATCCCTAGGAGGGTCGTGATCCCATTTCTGCCGACAAAAAAGTTTCCCTAGGAAAAATTTTCCTTTATGAATCTTGGCAAACAACGACTCCGGCTCTTCAAGAATATGCCCCCACTTTTCCCTAGAAGGGCCTAGTTAAATTTCTCAAACCACCTAATGATGACATTTTAATTATAATGTTTGTTACTCCCATTCTTAATACATTTTCCCCCTTCTCTCAAAATATCTTTAGTGACTTCAATGGTATTTCGTGTCTAAATCAAATCTAGGCGACGATGCCGCATCTTGTCGCGGGCTGAAGATGGCCTATGAACATGTATTATGTGGCCCGTTATGGTGTTTTGTTAGTATTTTTAGCCTAAAATTAATTTTTTGTTAGCAGTTTTGTTAGTAATATTGACTCGACAATATGATATTGACTGAAAAGATATATATGACTGTCAACATCCAATTAATTCTTTTTGTAAATTTTGGCTAATAAATGATATTTACCTGAACCTAAGTAGACCCATTGATTATGGGTATGGCATGAGTGACGTATATATGGGTTTGGAAGTTTGTAGATGGGTTTGGGTAGCTTATGGATATTTACTTCAATAATCTAAATGTGTATGAGTAGGGTATGGATACTCATTTATTTGAGGGTGTTTTAATTACACATACAAAAATTAGACTTATTTGTGGAACTTAAAAAGTTAAGGTACCAAAATGTAATACACAAAAATTTTAGATATTAAAATGTAATGTTCCATCAATATTTTGAGGACTTACATGTCAAAAAATAATTTAGGTTATAAATCTAAAGATCTATTAAGTTTAGATATCGAACTGTAATTTGTATATTTGAGACTTAATTCCTTTTATGGTGATGTATTTAAGATGATAATTATTTACCTTTTTATAGAAAAATGGAAACTATTTATTTGATCTGTGTAGATACCTAGCCAAACATTCAATGTATACTTTTCTAAAATTCTAGCTTAGGCGAAAATGAAAAACTCTAGAGAGAAGCAAAAGAAATACAAACTGGAACTTGCTTAAAATTTCACACCTTCAAATATTGTGGGAAATGATGACTTTCTAATAAGTAATAACTATATATATTCATTTTTAATTGGACTCAACATTGAGCTAGAAAAGTTAGTGGCTCATGGTTTAATTATTAATTCTCTAGATTGTTGGTGCGTCGTGTATGGACCTGTTCATACTTGTGATTAGAATACATAAAAATAATATACTAATTATGGTTAGATGAAGAAGGCAAATAAAGAAATAAAAAAAAGGTTATGGAAGGGGAGTGAAAAGTGAAACGAAGAGAAAGTAGATGATGGAAATGTTTCAACCAATTCTTTTAGTCTACTGTCGATACAACAATCAACCCTTTTTACTGTAGCAATTTGTTGATACTTGCTTATGTAGATCTGACATATTTTGTTACATGTAGTTAGTAGAAGTTTGTTTAGTACCCCGTAAATGTACTAAATGAGTTTATTAATTCACTCTTGCAATATTTTAGAGTCGTTTCTCTTTTATCATTTATTTAATGTTTCACGTAATGAGCAAATATAAAATTGTCGAATCTTCTCCTACAGTTAAGCGATACAACATCTCGTATGGTATGAGCTAAATTTATACTTTGATGTTATGGTGGATTGGATTTATGGATTGGTTCAAAATGATTGGTAGATTGGATTCATGGATTCAAGTGAAATCTAAACTTGGACCAATATGTAAATTTAAAAAAATTGTAGGTACGAAAATCTCATAAAATTTAGATACCAAAACATAATTGTTCAATGATTTTACATTAAAATTAAATTTGGGGTATCATGGATTGGATTCATGGGTTGGTTCAAAATGATTGGTGGATTGGATTCATGGATTCAAGTGAAATCTAAATATTGGACCAATTTACATTAAAATTAAATTTGAGATATCAAAATGTAAAATATACATTATAGTGACTAATTTGTAATTTGTTAGACAATGACTAATTCTTCTCCTACAGTTGAGTGATACAAACTAAATTTATACTTTTATGTTACGGTGGATTAGATTCATGGATTCAAGTGAAATCTAAACATTGGACCAATATGTAGATTTAAAAAAATGTAGGTACGAAAATCTCATAAAATTTAGCTAGCAAAACATAATTGTTCAATGATTTTACATTAAAATTAAATTTGGGGTATCATGGATTGGATTCAAGGCTTGTTTCAAAAGGATTGGTGGATTAGATTCATGGATTCATGTGAAATCTAAATATTGGACCAATTTACATTAAAATTAAAATTGGGATATCAAATGTAAAATATACATTATAGTAACTAATTTGTAATTTGCTAGGTAGTGACTAATTTTTAATTTGTTTGGCAACCATAACCAAACCTTAGGTTTATATATATTGACTTTGATGCAACTGTTACTACAAGAGACCTACGTTATTCCTTCAGTGTTTTTTTCACTCATTTATTTATCCATTCATTTTTTTTAAAGATTACTATTCATACTTCATAGCATGGTCGTGAGGTCATATTCATCTCTAAAATTGATAATAATTTCTAAATCCCACAACCACATCATCAATTTTAACAATTTTACACATATCAATTTCTAGTCATCAATATTTCTAAAATTTGTTAGTAATTTCTCAACCACTATTTAAATATACGAAACACTTTTCAATGAAAAAATGACCTAACTAAGAAAAATAGAAAAGAAAACAATTACGCATATGACATTGCTAAATAACTTTCCAAATTAACCCCTCAGATTTTGCTACGTAAGCTCCACTTCATTTTAGCAATTGCTAAAAATTGGGAATTTAGATGGTCTGAGTTATCTTTCAGCTATAAAGTAAAGATGATAAGCAAAAAAAAAAAAAAAAAAAAATGACACACTTAATGGGAAGGCAAAGTCATTGATTATTATTGGAGAGGTCATGGAAGAGGCAAGGCAATAGAAGTACCCATCCCCTACTTTGTTTAGTTGCGGATCAGATCAAGATCTCACTCGCTCAAACACCGAGTTTTATCATCCCATTACAGGTTAGATCGATAAATAGCCAATGAATCGGATATGATTGTCATCTATATTCTCAACTTAAATTGTTTGTTCATAAATATAACCCATCGTTTCTATCCTGCATAAAACAACTGAATCGCTAAATGTCGTCCTTAAAATTGCTAACGGTCGCCCTAACTCTAATGATAAATGACTTATATACTCCCAATAAAATTTCAAAATTAAACAAACCAAACAATCCCTAACCCCTCAAACTGAACCCCTCATCTGCCTTCTTCGCGAATCCCTCTCGACGCACCAGTTCGTCGGCGTCTTTCCCGCCGTCGTCGTCGCCCGTTCTCTAACAAAATTTCCAAAAAAACGCTCAACCTAAGGCAAGTTACGGTTGGTCCATGGTGCAACCGCAACTCACTTGCGGTTGGTCCATGGTGCAACCGCAAGTGAGCTGCGGTTGGTAGGGCTGGGAATCCGGATCCGGTTTTCCGGTCAAACCAGAAACCGGATGGTTTTAACCGTTCCGGTTACAACCGGAAACCGTAATCCCAATAACCCAATCCAATTGGCGGTTGCTTGTTGTCTGGAAAAAACCGGCCCGGTCCGGTCTAAAACCGGGAAACTGTTTAAAACTGGATGGGTCCAACCCACTAAATTATTAGTAACTAACCAGGCCCATTTTATGAAGCCCAACCCAAAATTACCCAAACCCACTAAGGCACTAACCCACCCAGGGGGAAAACCCTAATCGGCGCCTACCCTAATCGCCGTCCCCTTCCATTTCCAATTTCCATTTCCGCAGCTGAGGACTGAAACCCTCTCGCCTCTGCTCTATCCCTCGGCGGCGACGACGAGGCACACATCTGGCGACGACGAGGCAAACGACGGCGCCGTCATCTCCCTTCTATCTCCGTTCGTTCGAGAGCAGTCGGCACTCCGCAGTCGATCTCCCCCGTCTCCTGTACATCTCCCTTCGAGCGCCATCATCTCACCCCTCACCAGACTCAATCGACGAGCCGACGACACCTCCAGACTCCGGCGAGCGACGACGACCTCGGTAGAAGTAGAACGACGGTAAGTCTCTGACCCTCGCCTCTCCATTTCTCATGGATTTCCTTTCAATCCAGCCATCCCCTGAGTTTATAGATCACTGAATGCAGGCATGCAGCCGCCCAAGCTACCAGCAGCAGCCGTTCCCACTTCCTCCCAGCAGCAGAAAACCAGGCCGACAACTACAAATCGAGAGATGCAAGAAAGCAGCAACGCCTGGGTAAGTTCGAGGAAGTCGAGGATTTGAGAACTGGGAAAAGTTTGAACATTGCAAATTCTTATTCTGTAATTGTGTTATGTCTTGTGTAATTTGATTACAAGTAGGAAGAAACTAATTAGATTGTGTAATTTGATTCCTATTTGTTCTTCTTTCCCGATCAACAGAAAGTTCGAGATCAAAATGTTATGAATGGGTGCTTTTATTTCTTATTCTTCTGACCCCAACAACAACAACAATGATCCTTTTGTTTATAAAGTTTGTATCTTTGTGGTAAATTTTCAGGGTAGCAGCAATAACAAGAAGAGATTGCTAAATCAAGATGAAAATGTGCCATATGAGCTCCCTAAAGTGCCTCGTGTGGAAATTAGTAGCAATGATCCTCCTCCCGCCAACTTGCCAACACCACAGCTACAAGCACAAGAACGGGCAGCAGCTACCACAACTCAAACAACAACCCAAACACAACCTGAAACCACTACAACTCAGAAGGGAAAAGGAAAGGGAAAGGCTAAAGCCCCAGCCAAGAGGGAGTATGAACTACGGTCTCCGGTGTGGAATCATTATGACAATTATGTGAATGAAGAGGGAAAGAAGAAGGTGAGATGTCATTATTGTGGGAAGTCATTGGCTGGTGATCCATCGGCAAATGGTACGTCTACTTTGGATGCTCATACTAAAAGATGTTTAAAGAAATTGCAAGAAAGGGGTGGTCAAATGAATTTGCATATGAAATCATCAATTGAAGGGCAAGGGAAATTAGGTGCTTGGAAATTTGACCAAGCCTATGTGAGGGAGGGGTTGGTTGAAATGATAATCTTGGATGAATTGCCATTTAGGCACGTTGAGAAAGAAGGGTTTAAAAAGTTTATGCAACGTGTTTGTCTTATGTTCAAGATTCCTTGCCGAAAAACAATTAGAGAAGATGCTTTTAGATTGTTTCTTGCACAAAAGGAGCAGTTGAAGGATTATTTCAAAACAAAGTGTGGAGGTAAGGTGTCCATAACTACTGATAGTTGGACATCTTGTCAGAACTTGAACTACATGTGCATTACAACACACTTTGTTGGGAAAGATTGGAAGCTATACAAGAAGGTGATTAGTTTTTGCAAGTTAACTAGTCACAAGGGAGTTGACATAGGTAATGCAATTACCTATTGCTTAGAAGAATGGGGTGTGAAGAGTGTTTATACTGTCACTGTTGACAATGCAAGTTCTAATGACACAGCAATCTTGCAATTGAGGGATAGACTTGAAGAATGGGGTACTAACATTGTAGGTGGAAAGTACCTTCATATGCGTTGCATTGCACATATAGTGAACTTGATTGTGAGTGATGGCTTGAATGAGATGGGGATGTCGATTAGAAGGGTGAGAGAAGCTGTGAGGTGGGTTAGATCCTCACCTTCTAGATTGGCTAAGTTCAAGGATTGTGTGGACTTTCACAACATTCAATCCAAAAAATTGTTGTGTTTAGATGTGCCCACAAGATGGAATTCCACCTATTTGATGCTTGAAGCAGCTGTGATATTTGAAGATGCTTTCTCTAGTCTTGAGAGAAAAGATAGAGAGTACAAACCTGAGTTGAAGTCGAAGAAGTACAAGAATCAAGAGATTGGTATTCCTCAGCGTGAAGATTGGAAGAATGCTAGAGTAATGATTAAATATCTGAAGTTCTTTCATGATTTGACACTGCTAGCATCCACTACTTCATTTGTGACGGCTCATCGATTCTTGCAACAATTTGGGAAGGTATTTTATCACATTGACAAGATGCTCAATAGCAAGGATGATGATATAGTGAGGATGGGGATGAAGATGAAAACAAAAGTTGAAAAATATTGGTGTGAGAAAGGGGGTTTGAATTTGAGAATGAATAGAATGGTGTATGTTGCTGTGGTTCTTGATCCAAGGCATAAGATGAATTATCCGGAACATATTTGGAAGAAGATTTGTGGAGAGAGTAGGGCAAGTGAGTTGGTGAAAGAGTTGACAAGTGAGTTGGAGAAGTTGTTTGAATATTACCAAGCTAGGATGCCTATTCCCCCACCCACTTCTCCAAAGGTGGCCGTTATTAATTTGCCTACTTCACGGGGGGAGAGTAAGTGTAGTGATGATGATGACTCGGATGATGATGACATTGACATTGATGAAGATTATAGGCGACCTCAACTTGGGGAAACTAGATCCGAGTTAGATAAGTATCTTGCTCACCCACGTGAAGATGATGATGGTGCTCCGGAGAAGTTTGATGTGTTGAATTGGTGGAAAGTGAATTCTATGAGATATCCAATCTTGACTGAAATGGCTAAGGATGTGTTTGCCATTCCCATGTCTACCGCGCCTTCCGAGTCCGCTTTTAGCACTAGTGGACGGGTTCTAGATAGTTTTAGGAGCTCTTTGCATCCCAAAATTGTGGAAGCACTCATTTGTAGTCAAGATTGGCTTAGATCAAGCTCTTGTGAGTTCAACTCTAATGGTGTTGATGATGATGACTATGAGGATGAAGATGCCTTTGTGAATGGTAAGTGTCAAGTGATACACTCTATTTTATGATGGTTGTTTTTATCAATTTGATATGTGAATGTTAAGTTGTTAATTATTAATTTGTTATTGCTGTGACTTGTGAATTAGTTTACAATACCATTGTGGTGGAGGAGGAAGAGAGGCAAGCACGTGAGCATTCCAAATCTCGCGGGAGTGGAATTGAAGTTACAAGTACGAGCAAGATTGGGGATGGTAGCGTGATTGGATCGAAAGATGGACATGCAAGTGAGGCAAGTCGTGGTGCAACCAACTCTTCCTTTGTTTCCATTGAAGAGTAGAAATGATTGGTTGGCGAGTTGAAGTGGAGTTTGTTGGATTTATGTTATCTTTATTTATGCATTATGGATTTAAAGATTTGGTTGTGCAATGAACTTTATTTAGACTTTGTGCTTGTGTGTGTGAGACTATTATGATTAATGTTGGAATGTTTTGTCTTGGTTTTATTGAAATTTGGTAAAATTTGAAAGAAACAGGGGCTGCTGGTCACTTAAATACAGGGGAGGTGCTGCCCGGTTCGACCCGGTTGGTCAACCAGCTGGTCGTTTGGTGGGGTTTCCGGTCAAAACCGGACCAAACCGTATCTCATCCAATCCGGTTTGGTTTAAACCGTGTCCCAATCCAATCCTGTCCACGGTTGGGCATAAGTCCAATCCGGTCATAAAAAACCGGGTCAATCCGGCCCGGTTTAAACCGAACTGAACTGTTTCCCAGCCCTAGCGGTTGGCCCATGGTGGAACCGCAAGTGAGCTGCGGTTGCACCATGGACCAACCGCAAGTGAGCTGCGGTTGGCCCATGGTGCAACCGCAAGTGAGTTGCGGTTGGGCCATGGTGCAACCGCAAATGAGCTACGGTTCCCTTTTTTTGTTTTTTTTTTCAATTTTTTGAGTGAACTTTACCGATTCAGAGTCGCTAGTCATGATCTAGACATCATATCGACGATTCCAACTCCAGAATGACGATGATGGATTCTCTCTTTTGAATAATGTTTTATTTTCTTTACTAAAAGGTGTTTGTTTGCTAAAGGAAGAGTAAAGAAGCTAAAAGGTTAAATTTGTAACTTTGATGTTTTTTAGGGTGACATTTAGCAATTTTAAGGGCGACTTTTAGCAACTCCCAACAACAACACCTCTCGATCAACAAATCTACAAATCCTACCGAATTTTTTTTTTTTTTGTGACCATGTAGAAATTATTGGTAATCAATGATCTCGCTTCCTGCGGAGAGAGATTATGAAATCTCTCATGCCTATTACATCACTAGTCTTAACTAACCCACTGTTACAGTCTATTATTTATTCCCTCTCAGCAATTAGTCAAAGCAAATGAGCACCCCTCTCTCTTCCCAAACGCTAGATTTTGGGGTTGGTTGCCGCCGAGAAATCATGTTGGTATTGGTGCCAATTTTTCCAGCCGCACCGTATTAAAAGTACACAACTGAATAATTACCCCGTCGGTCTATCCTTCCTTCCCTCGTGTTTGTCCAGAACTGGGCCCAACACCAAGGCCCAGACAACAAACTAAAAAAGACAAGTCATATCCCGTCACGTGATATCCACGTGAGTTCTGGTTTTCTCAAATCCTCAACCCCAATTCAATTCAGTTATAGATCATCATCCATCCATCCATCCTGAGCCAAAACCTGATCATTAATTAATTAGTTCATCACCATCACCGAAATTGACTTTCTTCACCTCCTCTTTATTCTTCCCGAACCATCCACCACCAAAAATATTTTTATCGAAAATAAATACTTGACCTGACGATACTATCGCTTTAAATCACGAAACGAAAGTAAATTTCACCGTTGATTTTCCGTCTTCACTCCATATAAAAATTAGAAAATCCATATGGTAGGGTACAAACAAAAAATCCCGTAAAAATTCGGCCCAACCCCGAAGTAATGTAACGTCCACATAATTATTCGCCAGGTGTCGTCATCTCCACCACCCTCAGCGGGCCCCACACTCCAGAAAAATAAAAGGAAAAATGCTCCGCAGCGGTAGGATGCAACCTGCCGGCTTTCCTCTCTCATTAAATGATACTTACTTTTCCACAACTTTTTCCGCACCGCCGACGGCGAACCTTCCAACGCCGCCCATCACCGGGCAAGTGCACGGCGGAGGACCTGCGCGAGGAGGCCAGGAGCGCTGAGGTGCGGCAAATGGCCCTCCGTCCGGAGAATCTCGACGGTGGTCCTGCCGCCCAGATGGGTCTTCAAGTAGTCCACCACAGACGGCGGTACGGACATGTCCTTGGAGGTCTGGATGATGCAGCAGGGGACCTTCACCAGCCCAAGTATCCCCCTGAAGTCGCTGTTGAACACCGTCCTCGACACGAACAGCGTGATGTCCGGCCTCATGTTGAACAGCGTCCTGGTGAACTCCCTCACCGCCGCCGGCACGTCGGCCCCCACCGCCAGCGGCGCGAATCCCTGCACCCACGCCTCGTAATTCGCCTCCATCGCCGTGAAAACCTCCTCGATCTCGCTCTGCTCGTAACCCCCGTGGTAGTCCTTGTCGTTCAGAAACCTAGTTCCCCCACAACCGAAAACCTCTCTCAATTAGAAATTGCCCAAGTCCGGATTCGATTTCGTTGAAAATTAATTGGAAATTGAAACTGGAGTGACAGGGGGATTTTGAAATTGGGGACCTGGGCGAGGCGCCGATGAGGATGAGCTTGGAGAAGAGCTCGGGGCGGCGGATGGAGGCGAGGAGGCCGATCATGGCGGAGACGGAGTGGCCGACGTAGGCGCAGCGGTCGACGCGGTGGGCGTCGAGGATGCTGAGGAGGTCGTCGACGTAAGGGTCGAGGGTCGTGTAGCGGTGGAAGTCGAAGTAGTCGGGGTTGACGCTGCCGGCGCAGACGAGGTCGTAGAGGATGACGGTGTAGCTCTGGGTGAAGAATGGGAGAATCCGCTGCCACGCCGACTGGTCGGTGCCGACGCCGTGGGCGAAGACCAGGACCCGGTCGCCGGAGCCCAGGCGGCGGACGTTCAGTACCTCCAGGAGCCGGTTCCCGGTCACCATGGCGGCTGGATTTGGAAGGGAGCTGGAAGAAGCAACACTATTAGCAGATTCGCGTGGTGGGTAGTTTGATTTGACGGGAATCGAAACGAAGGGATTGGGGAGAAAGAAGGAAAAGGGGAAGAAGAGAATGGGTTGAGTAAAAATGAGTGCTGTGCCTGTTCAGTTCATACTGGGGTAGGGTATATAGCCATGGATAGGCGTGTGAAGGAAAGTGAGAATTGGAAGGGGGAGAGTTGGGGTTTTTGGTTGAAGGCGCTTGTTGGATAGTGGTGGATATTTATAGTTGGATAAGGGAGGATCTCATAAATTGACAATTGTTTGGTTCTTTCATTTTTTTCCTTCCTTCCATTTCTCTGGAAATGACTATTTGACAAATCGCTCAAATTCGGCTCTCATATGTCCCTATCAACATTTTGTTGGTATATGTTTTTATTAACTTTTGGTAAATAGGATAAGTTTTTATTAAAATGTTTATGTTCTCTAATAATGTGGCCTCTTGAGCATACATAACTTTTTTCGATTAAATTTAATGGATTGCTAGTTTTCCCTCCATGAATATGCTTTTTGTTTTTTTGTTTTATTCTATTAGTAGTTGTAATTTTTAAATGGTATTTCTCTTTTTCTTCTCTTTATATTTATGTATTGATATATTATCTATTAATCAAGTTTCGTCTAATGAGAGGATCGCTTCATTTAGTGTGTGTTTCACCTGTATCAACAATAATGTCAAATTATATGAGTTGCGACTTCATCATCAGCTAGAAGTAGGGATGGCAACAAAATCCGAACCCACGGGTACCCACCCGATCCAACCCGGTCAACGCAGGTAAAACCCGTATTGACGGGGTTTGGGCCGGGTTCGGGTTTAAACCCGATACACTATTCACCGGGTCAGGTTGGGTTTAGGTAAACCCGCCCATGGGTACCCGCCCACACACATATAATTACTTTTCCGGTATATTTAATATTCTAAATAATATATCTTCCTTAAATAACTAATATTCTATATGTTTGTGGAGACATGTATAATTTGTTCTTTCTAATTGTTTAGAATGAAGTTGGTATTAAGAAGTGGAGAGTCAAGAAACTTAGTTGACGAGGAAGAAGCTTTCAATTAATCTTATTGTTTATATATGTTTATCTTTAATTTTGAACAATTTGTATTGATCATTTGCGGTTTGCTTGTATGCTCTAGAATGGTGTTTTTTGTATGATTAATTTGTATGAGAAAATTGATGTTAAACTTTCATTTTGAACGAAACTTGTCATTGTAAATTTTTACCACAAAAACCCACGGGTACCCATGAACCCTCAGATACCCAGCGGGTTGGGTTGGGTTTGAGTTTTTCAAACCCAACGGGTTTTACCCCGGGTTTTTTTGGCGGATAAACCCATGGGTTTGGGTTTGACAAAACCCGCCCCAAACCGACCCATTGCCATCCCTAGCTAGAAGATCATATTTACGACCATCTTATCTTTGATTGACCAAAAGTTTCAACCTCATAAGTTGTTAGAGCTGCTAGCCGGTTGGCATTTATTCGGTTAATCCAAAAACTGAACAAAAAATCGCAATTATTCGACTAACCACAAACTGATAATAGAGTTTGCGGTGTCGGCCTCGATTTTCTATTGGAGGCTTTTTTGGATAACTGGCAACCGCCGGAAGCTAACCGATGGAAAATCTATGCATCGAAAGTAACCGCCAGACAGAAATAATAGCAGCTAACCGTCCTCTGCCTGCCCACCAGTCACCAACCAAACCTCTTCCTCTCCCGACCTCGGATCTTTATCTCGTTGTTCTTCCAACTTCCCATCTCAGCTCACATTCTTCATCCGCCACCACCAGCCTCTCCATCATGATCTCGTCTCCCACAAGTGGGAAAGAGGACATTCGTCGTCACCAATTGTTGTCGCCAATCATCACCTTCGATTTGTGCACCTTCTATTTGCATATTCCACGCGACGGAGGATTCAGATCCAGATTGTCCGGCGGCTCTTTCTCATCTTCCTCCGCCTTGAGTCAAGAGCTGCCACTACCATGCCCTTCTATCGGATACAGATCAACAATAACTTTCCCCAGTCATCCTCCTCCCTCTTCATCAGCTATTGCCAGTCATCCGTCGTCGCCTCGTCATGCGTTGTCCTCAACCTCCTTCCTTTGTCTTCATTCGTCGCCCTCGGACTATGATCTTCCTCCTTATATCTCCCCTGCCTTCAAAGATGAGCAATGAGAGATTGCATGAGGGATTTAGATGGTATTTTGGAACTTGAGAGAGAGAGAGAGAGAGAGAGAGAGAGAGAGAGAGAGAGAGAGAGAGAGAGAGATTTCAAATTTGTGGAGAAGGAACATGTCTCATACTTTTTATTGGTTGGTCGGTTCACGGTTTGCGGATTAACCACACTGTAGCTTGCGATTTTGGTGATCGAATAACTGATAGTATTGCCGGTGTAGGCCTCGATTGGGAGTCTGGGCATGTTATTAGTGGAGACTAACTGGCCCAATGGTTTGGTTAAACTGCAACTGAACCAGTTATCACCCTTATAAGTTATATATGATATTTTATTATTTTTTCCCTTTAGTGCATCTAAATGTTTAGCCTAAATATTGCAAGCATATGACATTTCCTTCAACTTGGTGACAACCACTTCACGCAGAGAATTTAAATTAGGCAAAATACAATATATTAGCCACAACTATTACGAAGCGGAAAATTATAGTCACAACTATCGAAATACAAATTATTAGCCAAATGTTAACTCTCTGTTAACAATTTTGTTAGTAATGTTGACTAAACTTTACGATTCTGAGTTGGATCCCATGCTTTTGTTCACCATACCATATTTTTAATTTTAAAACATAAATAATTAAAAAATTGAAAGGAAAAAAGACAGAAAAATATGACCTTCTTCCCTCCGTGGCCAATCACAAGATCCGCCAACGCTTTACCTCCTCCCAACCTTCTTCCCTAGAAAACCCTCTGCCACCATCCACCCTTCCCGGAGCCGCTATCTACCCTCTGCCACTCCGATCAAAGAGACGAAGACTGCGATATGGGAAGAGGAGCACACGTCAAAAATACCAACAGTGGACGGAGGCAACATCTGCTCGAAGGAGGAGAAGTAGGGGACGAAGGCGATGACAACTGGAATTGAAGAAGACCTAGAGGGGATGGAATGAGGATGCGGTTGCGAGAAGGAATTGAAGGCGACGATGAAGGGCTGACAGCGGCGGATGCATTAGTGAACGACTGGGGAGGGATTGAGGTAGAAGGGATTAGATTGGAGGGAAGAAGCAGGATTGAGGAAGAGAGATTCAATCGGGAGGAGGAGGAAGAAACGGCGGCAAGGCGGAGGAGGAGGGAAGAAGGTCGGGATGTGGCTGGGGAAGAAGATGAGGGGGCTTTGACCCTCCATTTTTTGTTTTTAATATTTGAAAATTATAAATAAAAATTAATCTAACGTGGAAAATGATGTGGTTGCTGACGTGGCCTTTTCCCTTACCAAGTTAATAACGCTAACGAACTGTTAACCATTCATTTACGCGCAACAATAATTATGGCTAATAATTTGTACTTTATAGTTGTGGGTATAATTTCCCGTTTCGTAATGGTTGTGACTAATATATTGTATTTACCCTTTAAGTTATCATGTGTCATGATCGAACGGAGTCGACTTTCAACTTAGTTCTCCATTTGATCAATGTGTAACTCCAAAAACTTAGAAGTTGCATTTTCCATGCAACAGATTGTCCAATCAATGATAAATCCGCCTCTAGTTGGAAGATCATATTCACGGCCATTTTTTTATCTTCGATTGACCAAAAGTTTTCAACCTCATAAGTACTTGGTCTTCCATTATTTTTGTCTTTGATGCATCCATATGTTTTGGCAAAATATTGCGTGTAAATAACATTTTCTTCAAATTAGTGACAACCAATTCACATAGAGAATTTAAATTATCATATGTCATGATTGAATGGGTTCAACCTGGTTCTCCATTTGATCAATGTATTACTCAACAAACTTATAGGTTGTTTGCTTGTAGGATTTTTATTAAAGATTTTGCATCAAAATCCCACACTCATGGGATTATGCACAAAGTCCATGTTTGGTGTTAAAGTGATGTTGAGTTATGTTATGTGGGCCTCATGCATGCGGATTGTTTTGAGGGAAAAATTCGTGGGGTCCACGGATTATAAAATCCCACCCATTTAGTTGGAATTTTGTGAGAGGCTAAAATTAATGATGGTAAATGATGAGTCTATCCTCGTCTCTTTTTAATATTCCTACAATGAACCTTAAGGACACAAATCATCAAGGATACAAATGTAAATTAAGCATATTATTAATAAATCCCATATGAAATCCAACAAATAAACAAGCACTTTTCAAAATCCAACACAAATCCGAAATGACAAAAAATCACAATCTTTCAATCATAAAACCCAGGGCTTTAGCTAAATCCTTCATGTTTTAAAATCCCATAAGCAAACGACCTCTTAGAAGTTGCATTTTTCAGTGGTGCAGTTTGTCCATTTGATGATAATTTTGTCTCCAAATTAAAAATATAACTTGACTCGCACACATGATGTAGTGGGAGATCGAGTGATAAAATGATGCGCACTAATTACCGACTCTGGCAATGACAAGTATCCACATGCAGGCTTGCAGTATAACGACTCGGTCGTATTCCCTAGGGATCTCTGATACCCTAGACTACTCATGTTTAGTTTTACAATTATCTAATCAATAGTTGGTTGTTTTGGTACTAAGGAATCGTTTAACGATGGAAGCAATAATAGAGAGAATGATTATTGGGTAAACCGCCCGCATCCTAACATCAAGCATGACATGCAATTAACATGTAAAGCATTATGGTAACTGAGGTGCGGATATTACTAAACTAGGAATCGATGATGGTCAAACCATCCATTCCCCTCATAGCCACATTCATGAGCCCAATGTCACCACAACCAGGTTTAGTGAGTAGGGATAGCGCTCTATCTCCTTTAAACGGGTTCTACCCGTGTTCACACAATGTCCTCGAGTCTATGGTCAATTGCTTGAGTCCCAAGCATACCTAAGTGAGCTCCTATTTGCAGGGGACGGTCACCTTATCCAACAACTAGGACTCAATATCAACTAACTAAGCTAAGGATAATCATTCACATACAATTAAGTGAGCCTAATTTGACCTAGGCTAGAATATGGCATACATGCTACCATACACCCAAACTCAGACAGATGCATTAAAAACTCTAGGTAAACTCAAACTCAACGTAAATTTACAATACCAGTTCAATTACATATCATAACCTTACTTAGGGTTTGGGGGACAAATCTTACCTTAGGAGGAGAGATGTGAGGTATTTAATGATATATGACGACAAATATATATGACACACTCGAGTCCCAACCATTACCTAAGTGAGCTCCTATTTGCAGGGGATGCTCACCTCGTCCAACAACTAGGACTCCGTATCAACTAACTAAGCTAAGGGTAATCATTCACATAAAATCAAGAGCTAACCTAATTTGACCTAGGAGGATTTGGAAGGCATTATGTCATACATGCAACCATACATCCAAACTCAGAAAGAGGCATTAAAAACTCTAGATAAACTCAAATGAACCATAAATTCACGATACCCATTCAATTACATATCATAGGGTTTGGGGGACAAAGCCCCAACCCCCAAGTACCTTAGGATGAGGGATGTGAGGTATTTAATGATATATGACGACGGATATATATGACGCTCTCGAGTTCTAGTGACCATACTTGCAATTTATCCTATTTAATGATATATGACGACAGATATATGATCATAGATTATATATCCAACGTGGGACAAGGGGTGCGAGGTATTTAACCAAGCAATCAATGCATCGATCTCATATGATTTAGAACAACAACCTGGTAAGCACGCTCGACAGGCGAAATCATGTTTTTTTATTATGATTTTGAAATGTTATATTTTTCCATCATTAAAAATTTTACTTTGTGCATTTTTTCCATAGGAATCACCTCTACCATAGAGGGCTGATAACGATGTAATTGCACGTATTTGCGCCCCTAGTTCTTATCCGTTTGAGGGGCATAGTCGTGTACTTTTGGCCTATTTTACGCCGGGTTGTGCTATTTTGTCATATTTCAGGTCCCAGGCGTCAAAGGAAAGGCTAAGCACGAGTTTCAGGGCATTCAGAAGTCATTTCGTCGAGCTGGAGCCAAAACACGGGCACACCTAATTCATTACACGGCCGTGTTCTCCCAAAGCACGGCCGTGTTCTCTCCAAAACACGGGCGTGTTCTGTGGCCGTGGTTTTACTGCCGAGAGCTAATTCGAGTTTGGCAAACATGAGCTGATTACACAGGCTGAAAGCATGGCCGTGTTCTCCCAAAGCACGGCCGTGTTCTCTCCAAAGCACGGCCGTGTTTCTCCCAATGCACTGGCCGTGTAATTAACACTAGCCAAAGCACGGGCGGGCTGAGGCAAAGCACGGCCGTGCCCTCGACCGTGCTTTGGCCAGTGATGCCTTTTTAAGCAGATTTTCAGCCAAAGAGAGGGGATTGGAGTTTTAGAGAGAGAGAGATCAGTTCCTAGAGAGAGAAAGCGAATAACAAGAGTCTCCAAGCGCCCTAGCTTGATCTTCATCACCATTGGAGGCCTGTTTGAGCTTGGAGAAGTGCCGATCAACGTCCAGGAGCAGGAATCCATCCTTCACAGTATGAATTCCGCGTCTGATTCTGCTTTTGCTTCTTTCTCCATGGAGTAGTTCTCCCATTCATCTGGGTATGGAGAACCCTAGATTTGTATGTTAGGCTTTGATTGTATGAACCCAAGTACTGATTCTATGATTTGATTATATTCGATTGAGGTTTGAATGATTGAATGACTTGAATCCTGATCAAATTCCTGTTGTTTCTGCTTTGACCTAGAATGAGAATATCTGCCTAGGTTGATAGAGCATCCTTGATTGAAGGTAGGGAGTTGGTGACTTTAGTCGAGGAGCCAACTCACTATTCTGAACCGGATTTACTCCGGTAGTGGAGGTTTTGTTTGTTAAGGCCTCAATCTGTTTACTCCGGTGGAGGTTAGTCGCCCGCTAGAGACTCAGATTAAGAGGGTCTGAAGACCTTTAGTCGAGACTTCAGGCTGTTTAAGAACCTTCCGCAGTATAACTATCATAGAAACTGAACTTGGTAATTACAATCCGGCTTAACTGCAGTC